TATTCCAAAGATGAAAAATTGATTAATATTAATGAAAAATATTGGATTCTATTTCAGAAAACAGATAAATATCTGATCTTTATGATTTATCTTTTATCCAGAAGATAACTATGAACAGAATAATTTGTATTTTAGATCTTTAGGATATTCTAAAATATATAAAGTAATTATCGAGTGTCTTAAAGAAATTGATGTCATAAAAAAGCATTCCTAAGAATACAAGTAAAAATAACAAATCCATCTAAATTCAGTTTACACAAGTTGAATTTTTACTACAAAGTCAATATCAAAGATCAAAAAGCGAATAATAAGCGTCCTATTGAAAATGGGTCATAAGAACCAAAGAATGAGAAATATTTCATTTTATTGAATTAGTTTTATAAAAATTATTTTTTAGTAAATTTCTAACATTATCATTATTCTTACTATATGAGTGTATCATTGCCGTTGCAGCTTAAAAATCTGTGTTCTCAGAAGTTATCTTATAAAGTCGACAACTACGACAAATCCTATGATCAAGAAATCCTGGACTAATGCAAGATGATCATATTACTGCTCTTAATTAGCAATGAGTTATTGAAACTCATTCCATACTGTCCTGTAGCATCAACATTAATGTCATCACACAAAATTTATACAAAGTTCTTGTGATATTAACAAGTGACACTGCCTTCTCTAAAAACATAAATATTTCTAGTTTGCATTCCAAAAAATATGATTGTAAATAAAAACTCACAAATATTCGAATCATACATTACTCTCTTGTTCTGAAGAAATCTTTACAAAATTCTTACAAAAATTCACAATTTATGTTGTACATAAAATTTTTATTTATTTTTTAATAATAATTACTTGTTTGCTCTTACTTTTTTTATTATTATTTGTACCATGCCCCTTTACAAAAAAATTCACCCAATAATATTACTTCCATTCACTAGAACTCATAAATCCTTTAGTAGTAGTCTCCGATCTGTAAATTAGTGACTCAATTATATATAAAGAATAACTTGAAAAAAAGTTTGAAAAAATAAAATTAATTATTTTTAATTTTTACCTAATATTACTTCAGTTTTTATATCTTTTATATCTATATAATACTTTAAATTATTTCTCTATTATATATAGTTTTTTAGTTATATAATTCTTTTTATAGTTTTAAATTTTATCTCTTATAACTTTTTTATACTTAATTTTGTCAAGCTTAGTAAGAAAAAATATATTTAATAATTTCTTTATAAAAACAACTATATGAAATAGTTTATTTTATAATCTATGATTAATATATATTTACTAAAATTAATATTAAATAACACTTTAAGTAATATAATTTAAGAATTCTTATTAATCTTTATTTTAAATTGATTTCAAGTTTATTATTAACTTTTCTTTTTATTTAATTGAGAATTTAATTATTATTATATATTATATACTTATAAATAACTATATTATTTTATTAAAAACTTTATAATAATCTATAAAAAAATATAATATCTTTTTATAATTTTAAAAAAATATATTTTTATTAATATTTATTCAAATAAAATATTTAATATATTATTTAAAAGCTTAAATCTAGAATTTTTTAAAAGAAATTAAATTATAAATTATTAAAATAATTTTATATAATTATATAATTTAGATCAAAATTTTTTAAATAATACAATTTTTGTAATAATCAAGATGAAATCTACTTTAATATATTAATAAAAGTAAATTAGTCTATTTATAAAATTTTCAGTCTAATCAAATTATTAATTCTTGAGATATTTAATAAAATATAAAAATTCAATTAGTAAAAAAATTCAATATTTTTTAAATTTTTTATTAATTGAATTTTTTATATATCTTAAGAACTTATAATCTTAAAAATTTATAAATAAAATTATTTTCATTAATATATTAAATAGATTTTTATCTTAGTTATTGCAAAAATTTTTACTAATTAAAAATTTTATCTAAATTGATTTTATAAAATATTTTAATAATTTATTTTTTAAAAAATTCTATAAATTCCAAGCTTTAAATATTAATTATTTTATTTGAATAAATATTAAAATATAATTTTTTGAAATTTATAAATATATATTATATTTCTTTTAATTATTATTATATTTAGATTTTAAATAAAAATAATTTAATTTAATATTTATTTTTCTCATATAATTATTCTTTTAGTTATACATTAAAGTAAAAAATATAATAATGAAGTAGTTTATTTCTATATAATTATATATTTATATTTAAGTAAATATTATAATTATATATAAGTATATTTTCTATAAGTTCTAAGATATTAAATAGAAAATTATATACTAATATTATAATATTTATAACTTTGAAATAGTACAAAATTATAACAGATAAATAACTTTTTAACAAATAAAGTTATAATTATTATTTTATATTAAATATTTTTATTAAGAAAATATAATTTATAATAATATACAATATTTCTGAATGATATAAATTTATAATTAAAAAATATTGGAATCCTATTTCAGAAAATAAATTAACTTTTAACTATGAATATTTGCTAAAATTCATAAATTTCAGCAAATAACATAATATCAAAGCTGAAATACTAAATAATTATTAATATATAATATATCTTTATTACTACAGATCTTTTTTAATTTCAATTATATAGCAGATTCATCAAATATCAAAATACTGTACCAATTAACTACTAATATGTAATCTGATATAATTTCTGAATTAAAGATGGCTCCTCAACTAATTGCGGCTTGCGGCAGCCAATCAGAGAATTGCAACAGAGTTGCGATAGCCAATCAGAGAATTGCGGCAGAGTTGCAGCTAGTTGCGGCTCCCATCTCTATTCTGAATTTTAATATTTTAACATTTTTTCAGTAAACATCCTTATTTCTAACAACTCTATTAAGTCAATCTATAATGATTATTAAGATTCTTTGCATTTTCAGTTCTTCAGTTCTTTAGAATATACTAGATTACATAAAAAATTAAAAAAATATTAGACTAGAAAAGTAACTAACAATTAGATAAGCTTGTTAAGGAGATGAAAATGCTATTATCTTGTTCCTATTTTTTCATTCGTTGATCAAATGCATATTTGTTCATTATCCAATTACAGAAAAAACAATAATAAGAAACATTTGTAGAAAATCCATCTTACCTTCGTCACAAAATTCTTTAAAAGATATATGAAGTCATAAATAACAACATATTTTTACTTTCTCACAGACTTTTGACCTATAAATATGTCAATATATAAATATGAATTTCAATGTATAAAAAAATATTTATATGAATAAAAAATTACTCAAATATAATTTACATCAGTCAAATTTTCGAAATAATATTAATTCTAACTGATATAGATCAGTTCATTTATTTTGTTAGTTTGTATATTCCAATAAAGGTAATAATTCTATTTTTCAAATATCAATTTACAGTATGATATCTAAAATCATGACAGCGATCGTATTTACGAGAAAAATCTTTCGCGACAATCATTATGTACGAGTTAATTTTCCTTTATGATTACGTACTTTATAATTCGCTTTAAGTGATTGCTAACCTCTCGTATAAATAATTAACGTAATTGCTCGAATAAATGAAAAAAATTAAAAGAAATAAATAAGTCTACTAAAAAATGGTAAGGCTACTTCTCAAGAAATAGGAGTAATTGATCACTACATGTATAATCTTACTTGCCAAAATAAATAGTCATAAGATTGCACACTTTTATGAGGTAATATGCATATCATTAGCTCTTCAATGTTTTACTTTTATTTCAATCTGATTGTCATCGTTGCATAAAATTACTGTTCCTATTTGTTTATAAATGAGAATTAGACAAGAATTTTTTTTGCTTCACAATATAACAAGTGCATTTACTTAGAATCATGAATTTGTAGTCAGATTTTGATTGATTTGTTCATACATTTTTGTACATATACAACAAAAAATCATGAAACATATATTCCTAATTATGAATTTGCATTTATGAATATCTTTAGTTTCATCTTTGTCTTAACATATCGATATCAATAAATTGATTTTTGTTGATTTGGCATCGATATCTTTATCTTACATGCAAAACAAATATTTGAATATTCCTAATGCTAATACATGTTATGAACATTAAAAATGATTATTTCAGTTTATTCATATATACATTATATAAATGATAATGATGAGCAAGGATGATCTAAAACTAATTTGCTATCTTTAAATAGCAATTACTTAAGCTGTTATCAAAGGTGTTAAAACAATAAAGGTTAATGTTAAGATAAAATATAATTTATTATAGTAAAATTCAAACACATAATCAATTAAAGTTAATAATAATATTAACACAAAATCAAACCTTCACTAGTATTTAATCTGAAGAATATGGATTGAAGTTATATTTTCATTAGTAATTGAATATTGATTCGAACTTTTGAATTAAATTTGCCCTTCGATTGTGTAATCTCCGTAAAGATTGGCATAGGAGACCCTTAGAACCCTAATGAAACCCAATTTCTTATATCATTTAGCCCAGCCCTCGACCCTTGTCGCATCCACATTCTTTAGTCTAACTAACCTTTGGAATTGCTTGTGGCATTGTTTTAATTGCACAAATATTCTAAGAAAAATCAAAGAGGAAAAATCAAACTACAAACAGATTCTATCAATTTATTTTTTAATCACGCTTCCATTTAAAGAGTTTGTGATCATATGTAGATCGTATGAGGAAAATTCTTATGTAATACATGTACATGTATGTACATGTATTACATAATGTAGCGGCAGTGTGATTAGATTAATTCATGAAGAAAATGTTTTGTGAGTAGATCATATCGATATTGTGCATTGTTATATTATAATTACAAATCATATATATAAAAGTTAATATTGATCACTGCCACTTGAAACATTTTATTTCTAACATTTTATGAAATCTGATGTTGCCGCTGTGAATAATAATTTGGAGTATTAAATAATCCAGTTGCAGCATGATCAGCTGCTTCAGGATCTTACGCTCGCAAATATGTGGCACTATTTGAATTTAATACAATCGGAGGCGGTGGTGAGATCGTTTGAAATCTTTGATGATCATTATCGTTATTATTATTATTATTATTATTGAAAGTTTGAGGTATATTTGTTGTTGTCATCGACTGTTGCTCAATATCGATATTATTATCGTGATTATCTTTAACAATCTCTCGTAATCGGAAACCTGCCAAGTAATGACGACTTAGCGTTTGCTCTAAAAACCAAAATTTTTCGTTAATTCGAAAATCTACTTCTCGTAGTATCTCGGCCGCCGAAAAATATATATCTCCTGATGCTGATGTTCTAAAATGATATTCGGAATCTAAGGGATGAGTCGAAGACGATGATAGTCTTGCTTTATTGAATTCTTCTTTTTTCATTAACGGAGGCTTTTTTGCGTTTGGAGAATTTTTTAATAAAAAGCGTTGAACAAAGCCCCAAGATTTATATTTTCCTCGTCCGAATAAAAATATCCAAGTTCCTGTTACGTATGTAAGATAACCTCCGATTTCAGCAACCAAATTTAGCCATCCGTATGGCTGTTTTTCACTATATTCAGTCACCTAATTTTATAGATGTATTAGACGAATACTTGAGAAAGAAATAAAGCGAATAAAAATAATATTAATCACCATATAAGAATCCGGGGAATAATCAAATTTTATAGCAATCGTTTCATTTTCAAATTTCTCAATTTGAAGTGTATTTTGTTTATTGATTGTGAAATCCTGATGCACAGTATTATCCATGTCAATTCGAATAGTCGATGCAAATGTAAAATGATTAATCGTTGCAGTACGGGCGGCAAATGGCTTTATGACGCTAATATCGCGTTCGGCATTCCATAATCCGAACACTGCCCCGATAATCGCAGAGCCACTTGAAACATTTTGGTTTGAAATCGCGTTAATTGAAATATAATCAATGGAATCTGAATCGTTCGTCAGCTTGAACTTGAATATTCCATTAGGTTGAAAAATAAAACATGGGTCATTTTGAGTGTCTTCCGTCAAATCACCACCAGCTTTAAGTATCGTCTCATCTGTTTGCCATAAATATTCTTCAACCATTATCGCTTTTTTACCTAATGGCACTTTCTCTACGGTGATGTGGTCGATGAGCGCCCCACATACGAACGCATTCGGTATTGGAATTCCTTCGATGGTCTTGTTCACGATATTTATTGAGGTTAATTTGTCTTGGTGTTGCACTATTTTTTTGATTTTTGGAACTGCCAGAAAGATAATTATGCTCGTCATCAATATTACAGATGCTACTCGAAATGCTATCTCTGTTACAAGTTTTTTTGTTTCTTTTTCTTTTGAAACAGGCATATTTTAGCTTATTATCTTAATTCTGGAAGATTAAAAATGATATACTTCAATCAGGAATTCATTTTGTGCACACTAGTTATGTGAAGGCATTTATATTATCGTTATGAAAGCTTTTCAAGACCAGACTCATTTAAAAATAGCCTCTCTATCTTTTTAGCACGTAGTCTAGATTTTTTTCTTTAGCAGACTTTTTTAGCAGATAATCTAAAATTTTACTTCATAAGATGCATGATGATCTTAATGATAAAGAATATAAATGTAGGTATCAATGGGGGCTGTGTATTATGTAAATATTCACTTTATGTGGGTAGGTTACAGTTTTTTCTCTATCAAAAATTTTAATACAAACCGATTCTTGATTATAAAATCATAGAATCTTTTTACATTAAATATATATATTTGTTTCCTTGATCGTATTCTTAGTTGGCCTAAACGAATTTTAAATTGGTAAATTTTTTATAAATTTCGCTCTTTGGTTTAGTTCTTTGAAACTTAAACATCAAAATCTGATGATAAATATTTCAGCTGATGCTGAAATTGACCAATGAAATTAGAGAATAGAAACTAATCAGGCGATATCGATCGTTATTGTTATGATACAATATATAACTTAAAATGTGCATGTATTGGGGATCACTTGTCGTTATAAATATACATGACTAAAAATATATTATACGATATATAACTTAAAATGCACATGTATTGAACCCATTTCGGGATCACTTATCGTTATAAACATAGGTGTCTAAAAATATAGTATTGTTGGTGAATGCTATAATTGTTACCAAACCTGTTAATTTGGAGGTTGTATACATGTACATGTATTTTATTTTTTTTTCAGATGTACGACCAGGTGAAACTTTAATTTTAATGGTAAATACCACATAATTATTTATAACCTCTCCTTTTCCGTTTAACATATCATTAACTTTAGAAAAATGTTGTGATGTATACTAAATTTAAATGTTTGTGAAAAATGAAAACCAGTTAACGTTACCAATACACGTACATCACGTACATTTATATTCTGAGCAATGGATACACGGAAAATTATCTTTTTAGTTCAGCGTAAAAATCGCACACAAAATTAAAAAGGGTTTATTTTGTTCAAATGCGTACTACTAATACTTTCTAATAAATTCAGGAATTCGAAATTCATAAAACGTTATATCCTAATTTAACTGTATAAACTCATTTTAATCCTCAAATTTAAATATTTTCTATGTGTAATTGACATAAACTCAAAACAATTTAACAAAATATCGTCATTCATTTATGCAGTTGAAAATACACACCCTTGTTACAATAATTTAAGATTGCATGTACATTATATGTCAGATATACAACTATTACATGCGCTTGATACGATTTGTAAGTTTATACATGTACAGTGCGTGGAAATAAGTTACCGACCACGTGACACCGATCGATTTTAATGCAAAGCTTAAATTCAAATAACACGATAATTACTGCATCAAATTTAATAACTTTTTTTTATTTAAAAGATAAAATCTACAAATTTTAACTAATACTTTGTTGGATGACCTTTGCTTTTTATAACAGCAGCAACTTGATGGGGCATGCTATTAATAAGATTTTGATATTTATCAATATCTATATTAAATCATTCTTCTTATAGTATTTTCCATAAATCCTCCCTATTTTTTTGGTAATGGATTGTGTGCCTGAACTCGCCTCCCTAGTTCATCCCATAAATTTTCAATTGGTTCAGATCTGGGCTCTGTGCAGGCCATGAAATACTATCAATCTCATTTTCTTCTTTCTAACTTTTAATCATTCTTGCAGTGTGTTGTCTTAATTAGTTTTTCAAATCATTCAAGTCATCTAGAAATGGTAACAAGTAATTTTTAATATCTCTACATACACTGCTACTGTTACTTTTTCACTAATTTTACTAAGTCAAGATTATATTTTGTGAAATATTCCCATATCATTACCTCTTGTCAACCTGACTTTAAGTATGAATTAAACAATTCACTTCATCTTTTTCATTAGATTGCCTTCAAATCAATCTCTTACCATTCTCTTTGTACAATTCAAGCTTGAATTCATCATTCTAAATCATACTTTCCTATTTATTTATTTATTCTTTTCATTTTTTAGTCCAAATAAGCCTTTTTATCCTATATTTCTCACTTATAAATGGTTTTTTAACACTTAAAGTTTTTTTAAAGATATTTTTTATAATTAACTGGTAAAACTCTTTATATAACTCTTCAAGTTTTAATTTTTAAGTATATTTGTTAATATTAAATATCTCTTTCAGTTATTATTAATAATTTGCCAGTTCTATAAGATAGAGCTTCATATCCATAATCTCTATAATGAAATAATGCCATGAATAGTAGTTTGAGAATGATTTAAAGCTTTAGCAGTCACTCTCACTTTTTAAAATTATATTTCCAGACTCCAATAACTTCTTCACATTCAAAATAGAGAGTTCTTTTTTTTATCAACCATATCTTATATAGAAAAGTTTTGCAATATGTGAAAAAACACTAGAGGTAAATTGATAATAAAATAATTTGACATAATATATTTTAAAAGTAAATAAACAAATAATTAGTAATCATGTGATTGGTAACTTTTTTTACACATGTACATATAATTGCCATTTTTAGCACAACCATTATTCAAATTAAAAGAGTTAATCAATTAGAATAGTAGAGTTAAATTCAAATAATATGTTGTTATAGTTTTGTCTAAATTTTGTATTTAAACATAAATAGAATACATGTACAAGTAGAGAATTTGCTTAGCTTATCTAAGTTTAAGATTTAATTTTTAAATTATTTCTATTTAGATAATATCAATATATTAACTAATAATTAAAATATCACAATCAACATTCATTTTATTATATTTAAAAATGGAAATCAGCTATCAAAAAAATAATATTCCAAACAATTTGCAAGAAAAATTTTAGTACAAGTTCTGATAAATATCTATCAAGTTGACAGATTCAAATTTTCTGATATGTGAATAATGAAAAGTTTTATTGTGCTAGTATATTTATAGCTGACAAAAATAAGACAAAATAATAAAAATAAATCATAGCAAGAATTGTATGACAAGAAAATTTCTTTCACCAATTGAAGAGAATTTAAAAACTATTGGATTAAAATGCTAGATACTGGCTAAGTAAATATAAGTATTTTATTTTGGATAATAAAGACTTCTAATAATTTTTTTAATAAATAATTATATAGTTGTAATTCATGAACATGACTGATAAAAATGACTGAAATATATCTATTATGCTCATTTATTAAAATTGAAATATCTTTAGTCTATCTCTTAAGATAATCACCAAAAAAATATTAAATTTATACAGGTCAATTTACTTAAGAGTTTACTAATTAAAAGTGATAAATTCGATTTTGTGATCATACAGTTTGTAAATTATGATTTTATAATATGGTAATGAGAATCAATAATCATTCAAGTAGTTATTTGTATTATGAAATCTGATACATGATTTGAATTGATAAAATATAATATAACTTTTAACAATCAATAAGAATTTACAAAAAATATTAGTGGAAGCTTGTGAGTTATTTAGATTAATTTCTAAGAATTTTAATAATTACAAATGAATCTAATAATTTGCTTTAATATATATAATTTTGATAGAAATAAATTTGCATGGTATAAATCCCATGAATATTTGCTGAAATATAAAAAATTTTAAATAATTCAGAATTATTTGTAAATATAAGTAATAAAGAATAATCAGTTATATATAATTCTATCACTAGAGAATATTAGTGAATTAGTAAGTATTTATTCAATAATTTATCCAAACTGCTTTAAATTTAACTACTATTTTTATTATTATTTATTCAGTTTATTAATAAATAATATCTAAAAATCTATAAAAATATATGAATAACAAATTTTTTTTAAGTCTATAATATATTGTAAGATTATTTTATTAATAATTATAAATAAGCTAAAATATAATATAAATAATTTAATTTAAAAATCTATAATTTTATTATTTGAATAGTATTCAGATTTAAAGTTAATTTATAGAACAGAGAATATATATTTATAAAAAAAGAAGTAAATACAAATTCAAATAAATTATAAATAATTAATTTAATAAAAATATATATTACACAGAATTAATTATCTTAATTTATATTTTTAGAAAATAACTAATTATAATTCAATAATTATAAATAATATAAATAATAATAAAGAAAAATAAATAAAAATATAAAAAAATAATAATTAATAAAAGTAATTAAAAATATTAATAGTATAAATTAATAATATAGATATATATTATAATTATCTGTATAATAATATATTAAATCTAATATATTAAATATATAAAAGATCATTTATATATTCAGAATAAAATTGATCTTTATAAAAAATAGTATAGAAGCTAATTTATTATACAAATAGTATAAAATAAAGATCTAGACTTAAAGAAAGATAATCTAATTAAAATTATTATATATCTTTCTACTTAAAGTATAATATTTAAATGTATAATTTTTCAAAAATATTAATCTTTTTTATAATATTTTTCTAGTTTTCTAAAGATTTTTAAGTTGTATTATAGAGAGAATAGCTAAATTATTTAATAAAATATTGAAATTTATGATAATTAATTCTTTCATCAAAAATATTTTCTATCTCATATTCTTCTTTATTATTAGAGATAATGATAACTGATAGTTATTAGTATCTATTATACTTATTATCTGAATTATACTTCTTTAAAAATAATATATAAAATATTAAATAGAGTTTTATATTTGATGATAGTTATAGTTTATAGATGATAGAAGATAATTTTATAATAATTTTAAAGGAATTTATAAATTTCAATACAAGCTTTTTGATTATTTTTTGCTTATCAACTAGAATATCTATATTATAAGTAAAGAAAAAAACTTTGTTTTCAAGATTGAATTCTTCAAATTTTCTATATTGATTTATATATTTACTTTATCTTTCTTATA